TATAATTTATTCTTTTTTTTTATTTATTTTTTTCCCAGCAAGGATGCATTAAATTGATCAAAAGTGATAGTAAAGACGTTTATAATGGTTCAAAAGATTTGTTTCATTTAAAATCTGCTATTTTTAACTTTCTCTTCATCAAAGACTCCTGAAAAAAGTATCATGGTTTCCACTGAAGTGGAAATCAGCATATATACATTAAGTTAGATATTCTATTCTATTCTACTCTATTCTATTCTATAATTTAGTATGTGTTTTCAGTTTTCATTTTGCTATGTGCTTTTGTCATTTTTGCCATGTATGTATGTATAAAACTAAGCTAATAATTTCTCAAAATGGCTAAATTAATCAACCTGGCCAATAAGTTTCTCCAAGGCATTACCAAATGTCTTGACTTGTTTCTGATTGGCTGTTGTGTTTGTAGGTGAGCAGCTGCAGCTGGAATGCAGAACAAGGGCTGTTAGCCACCGGTGCACAGGATGGGACAGTTCGACTGTGGGCCATAACGCCAAACACAGCAGAACTACAGCACACACACACCTGCAGCGTCAGGTGAGACTGCTTGTTTTTCATCTCTTTGATTGGGAAAGGGAGAAATCCAAATGTTTCATAGGTCTGATGGGAGATGGATGCAAATGAATGTTTTGGGCACTGACAGGTCTGTGTTTGTGTGTGTGGTCTCTGCAGTGAGGATGCTCAGAGCTCAGATGGTTCAATGGGATCTCATCTGCTGTCCGCCGTATCGTGGAGCGCAGAGGGAACTCTACTGGCTGCCTTCCAGAACAAACTCCTCAACATCTGGACCGTCAATGGTCAGACCAGCATCCCGCACACACACACACACACACACAGACACACACACACACACAGACACACACACACACACACACACAGCACTACTGCTGCCAAATCTTATATGTAATAGAATGGGTATACAGTAATGTATAATTGATTGTAAGAGCAAGTTAACTTGAAGACCATATGAAAGCAAAATTATCTCTATTTACTTATTCATTGTTCTTGGTCTTATTGTGCACAATATAGTGTCTTATAGTGCATGTTATTCAGAAGAAAAAAGTTTGTTACCTTAATCTTGCATCAAAATAACTTTATTTGCTTCTGAAACAATATTTTTGCAGATGTAACCAGAGATAATTTAGTATAATGTATACACTATTATAGTATTTATTAATTGATTTATATACTATATTTATATGGTATTATAGCATGTATTAATATTTTGAATAATTTTGAATTAGTCTTTATTTTTATTTTCAGGTTTCATTTTAATGTAAAATTTTGCTTTAAATATATTTTTAGTAATTTTAGTACTTTAAACTTACTTCAGTTAGTTGTCAAGACAAGATTTCTAATTTCATTTCTTTTTTTTAATCTTTATTTCAATTACCAAGGACGGTTTTTAATTTAAGTTTATTTTCAGGTAACATTAAAAACACTGAATGTAGTGTGGTTGGGGGGAAATATTTATTTACATTTACATTTAGTCATTTAGCAGACGCTTTTATCCAAAGTGACTTACAAATGAGGACAATAAAAGCAGTCAAAACTAACAAAAGAGCAACAATATATAAGTGCAAATGACAAGTCTCGGTTAGACTTGCGGTTAGACTACGCAGTACACGTAGCAAGGTGTATATATATATTTTATACACGCACACACACACACACACACACACACACACACACACACACAAACAAAGAAAAACAAG